AAAGCCAAGTCTTGGGATTGGTTAATGAATCGTTTATGTGGGTTCCTTTGAATTCTTGAAAAAGCTTAAATTTTGCTATGCTGTTGTTTTTTATTATTATTTATTATGGGTTTTTCCTTGGATTTGTTTATTTGAATATCTTAATTTTAGCTAAAGTAGCCAAGATTTTTGTTTGAGAAGCTCAAAAAGCCATGTTTTGGGATTGGTTAATGAATAGTTTATGTGGGTTCCTTTGAATTCTTGGAAGCGCTTAAATTTTGTTATATTGTTTTTTTTTCCATTTAAAATGGGTTTTTCTTTGAATATGTTTATTTGGGTGTCTTGATTTTAGCTCAAATTGTATAAATATTTAATTTGATTAACTTTTGCTTATGCAGTTTAATGTGATGTTAATGAACAATGTTGGCCTATGCAGGTGCTCTCAATAAAAGTAATTCGAAACAAAATTACTGGCCAACCTGAGGGTTATGGATTTGTGGAGTTTAATTCACATGCAGTTGCTGAGCGGATTTTGCAGTCGTATAATGGAACTCAAATACCAGGGACAGAGGTAACATTTAGGTTAAATTGGGCATCATTTGGGATTGGAGAGCGTCGTGATGCTGGACCTGAGCATTCTATATTTGTTGGAGATCTAGCACCTGATGTAACGGATTATCTATTGCAAGAGACTTTTCGTACTCACTATCCTTCGGTTAGAGGAGCCAAGGTTGTTACTGATCCCAATACTGGACGCACAAAGGGATATGGATTTGTTAAATTTGCTGATGAAAATGAACGGAACCGTGCCATGACTGAAATGAATGGGATGTATTGCTCAACTAGGCCGATGCGCATCAGTGCAGCAACACCAAAAAAGACAACCCCTATCCAGCAACAATATGCAGCAGTAGTAAAAGGTAATTCAGAACTGTATTTTTAGTGGGTAACAAGGTTTTGTTAATATTTAAATCCAACGATAAAGTTGTCGGGGGAACCATGAGGTCTCAGGTTCAAATTCTAATGGAGGCAAAAAACACTAGGTGATTTTTTCTCGTCTGCCCAAGCCTTGGTAGACAAAATTACCTGGTACCTATGCTGGTGGGAGGTAGTAGCAGGTACTCGAGGGAATTAGTCAAGGTGCGTAAGCTGGCCTGGAGACACCACCGTCATTAAAAAAAATTGTGCTGAATGATTACTAAAATGATTTACAATTCTTATAAAAGTAATTACTATTTTTTTTTT